TAAAGATGTATGAAGTAAAAGACTCATCTTTCTCTCAAGGAGAGCCTGGTGGTTTTGAACCGCTGACCCTTTGAGGCCAGGGCTCCTTCAAAGGGCTTAAACTCAAAAGACAAACTCTCTTGGTTCTGAGGGAGCAGACCTGCCCCTGTGGGTTTCTGAGACTGTAATTCCTTACGGGAAGCAGAAAGTCTCGTCTTTCTCCTCTGGGTCAGCTGGTGATTTCGAACCACTGACCTTTCAGTCAGCAGCCCAACACGTAACCATTTCCCCACCAGGGCTCCTAGAAGCGCCTGGAACCATTGCTTGGTCAGCAGCCGAGCCTGCTCACCTGCACCCTGAGGGCAGCTGGGGCCGGGTTAGGTGAGGGGCGACAGGGTCAGGATTGTGGTGCTCGTGATGTGACCAGGGGTCAAGGGGCGGCACAAGGGGAGGGGACTGAAGAAAGGTATGGGATACAAGGGGCAGTCAGGCTCAGTGCCATCAGGGATTCTGACTCAGGGCGACCCTGTAGGGCAGATTCGAGCTGCCCCTGGGGTTCCAAGGCTGGCCCCCTGTACAGAAGCAGACAGCCTCATCTCTCCCCGACAGAGTGGCCAGGACAACTCACTGCCATCCCGTCCATTCTGACCCACAGGGACCCTCTAGGATCAAGTAGAACTGCCCCTGTGTGTTTCCGAGCCTGCAAATCCTTACTGGAGCAGAAAGCCTCCACTTTCCCCCTTGGAGCAGCTGGTGGGTTTGAACCACCCATCTTGTGCTTAGCAGCTGAATGCTTTCATCCCTGAGCTCTCTGGAGCTGGGGAGGCGGGGGTGTGAGATAGTGAGGGAGGTAGAAGGGGCAGGCTTTGAGGTCAGCTCAGGACTGGTGTGTGTGTCGTGGTGAAGGGGGTCCCCAGGCAGAGGAGGAAGTCGGGGGTGGCCTTATGACCCCTCTTCGTTTTGATTCCATGGTTTCTGACATGAGCCTTTTGCTCTCAGCTGCTGGGTCCAGTCTGCCTCACAGCAATCCTGTAGGACAAAGGGAACTGCTCCCTAGCTTGTCCCAGCCATCCGTCTTCACAGGAGCAGATGGCTCACCTTCCTCCCAGGGAGTGGCGGGTGGGTTTGAACCAGCCCGGCACGGCCAGGGCCCCTCTGCACATTCTTGGTAACCTCGAGGTCTTTCCAGCTTTGGGCTGGACCCATAGCACCTGGTGACTGTGTCCTGACTGATTGCCTGACCCGGTGGGACAGATAGGAAATGTCCCCATTCATCAGTTTCCTGTGCAGGGGGAAGGGGTTGGGCCATGTCTCAGGAGATCCACGGTCCCTCTGCCTGCTTTAAGAAGCCCCCACCACCTCCCCCGGTCCCCAGCCACCAACAAACTCCTTGTTGGGCGTGGACCCATCTCTTCATCCGCGGGTGCGTTTGCGGTCTGCTCTGGGCCAGGCGGGAATCCACCCGCTCAGCTGCTCACGGGCAATGTCAGAGGTTCAAGTCCAGCCGGGGGCCCTCAGAAGAAAGGCCGGGTAACCTGTGGGGACACTCAGTCCTTGGATCCCCTGCAGTTCCACTCGGACACTCCAAGCAGACTCGGTGCCCGTTGGCTTTCCGGACAAAATGCCCACAGTGGTGGTGGGGTTTCAGGGTGGTCCCTACTTCTAACGCCTGATGCCTGGGCTGCCCCAGGAGCTCTGTGTCCCCTCCCTCCTCTGAGCCCAGGCGGCTGGCCCTCACCAGGTGGGCCCACGCCGGATCTGCCATGTGGTGGTTTGCAGGACCAGGTGGACACGCTGACCTTCCAGAGCCAGTCTCTGCGAGACAGGGCCCGGCGGTTTGAGGAGGCCCTGAGGAAGAACACAGAGGAACAGCTCGAGGTATGCCCCCCAGCCCCCCGAGTTTCAGTTACACACACACACACACACACACACACACACACACACACACACGGGGCTTCCGAAAACTGCAGACAAAAGGAATGGAAAGACCATGGGATTTCCCCACAAGTTTTTTGAAGCCCGTGTGTGTGTGTGTGTGTGTGTGTGTGTGTGTGTGTGTGTGTGTGTAAGAGAGAGAGAGAGAGCGACACTATCATTGAGTCAGTTCCCAGCGAGCCCACAGGACAGAGGGGAACAGCCCCTGTGGGTTGTTTCTGAGACTGGCTCTGTCAGCCTCGTCTCTCTCCCCTGATGGGTTTGAACGGTGGTCCGCAGCCTAATGCGGGACCCTCTCGGTTTGTCTGGCATTCAGTGCTGCCCTGCGCTTTCCCTTGTAAGCCAGGCCTCTCCGGTGAGCCTTCTCCCTCCCAGCCACACGTGGCTTCCTCTCCTGGGGTGCAGCCAGGACCCCTAGGACCCCCACCTGCCTGCTGCACCTGCTACTCTGGGAAAGGGCCAATGCCAATCCTACGTGTCCCGACTTCCTGTGGGAGGTCCCTTTTAGGGACTGGCTGGGGCCGGAGGCTCTGGCTCTCCCAGCCGGCGAGCTGGGTGGGCATCGGCCCCTACTGCCCTGAGAGCCAGTGGGCATGTATGAGGGACAGGCCGGCGTCCGCTCTACCGCTCCCTTCTTCTCTCTCCCTGCTCCTCCCCCTGCAGGTTCTCCCTCTCCCGCCCCCTCCCCTAGCGTTCTCCTTCCAGGTCTGGGGTTTCTTTTCTTGTTTCTCCCCACTTCTCCCTCTTTCCCTGACTCCTGTCTCCCTTGACTCTCACTCACCTTGCTCATCCCTCACTCATCTTTCTCATTCTTTCCCTCTCTCTCTCATTGCTCTCTCCTCTCTCCCTCTCTCCTCTCTCTCCCCCCCTCCCCCTCACTCATTCCTACTCTCCCCACCACTCATTCCTACTCTCCCCACCACCTTGCCAGTGTCTCCCTTCCTGTTCCCCCTGCTCCCCCTTCCCACTCTCCCCCATCTCAGTCCCTCCCCTCCCCCTTCTCTTGCCCTAACTGCCTGTTGGCCAGCCTGACAGCAGAGGTTAGGTGTCAGTGCTGTGCCCCACAGCTGGCTGACTCTCAGGGGGCCCCGACTCCCCCACAGATGGCCCTGCACCCCACAGCTGGCTGACTCCCTCCCCCGCAGGTGGCCCTGGCGCCCTACCAGCACCTGGAGGAGGACCTGCGCAGCCTGCAGCAGGTGCTGGAGATGAAGAACCAGCAGATCCACCTGCAGGAGAAGCAGATCGTGGAGCTGGGAAAGCTGGTAGGTGAGGCCCCGCCGCCCTGAGTGGCCCAGACCTGAGTCCCAGCCACCCCCACTGCCCAGGCTGTGCTCACTCAGAGCTGCTTGCTGCTGTCCCCGGAGCCAGGGGTGGGGAGGGGCTTTATCCGGGCATGGGGGGGGCTGGGTCGTAGCACCCAAAAGTGCCTTCACTGGGCTCTGGAGTCCCAGACAGCAGCCCCCACCCTTTCCACTATAGTCTTTCTCTCTGGAAGGGGCAGGGAAGAGCAGCTTGGTCTCCCCTTGCTGATGCCCAGGCACCCCAGCTAGCCAGCACTGGCCGACTGTGGTCCAGGGCAGGCAGGCACTTGGCTTTGAAATCCACGCCAAACCTGATGCTGCACATCTGTGCTGACTCACAGCAACCCAATAGGACATCGTTAGAGCTGCCCCTGGGGGTTTCTGAGACAGTCTCTATGGATGGAAGCAGAGAGCCTCGCAGGTCTCCCTCAGAGCGGCTGGCAGGTTCGACCTGCCCTCTCACCTTGGTGTTAGGTCTGCCGTGGGTCCCCGAGACAGCCCTCTGCCTTGCCCTCTGCCAGTTGCAGTCCCTGCGATTCACCAACGCTCACACCCATTGTATTACATGCTGCCCACCTCGCCTGGCTGAGCATGCAGGGCACCCAGAGTACAAAGCCCAGGTGAATCACCGCTCTGCCCTCCCCAGGTGCTGCCTGCTCCCCTGCTGCTCCCTCTGTGAACCAGCACCCCAGGGGACCCCGGATCAGGGGCTCAGTGAACAGAAATACTGGAAAAGCAGCCTCTGCATGGGCCCCTCTGGCACCTCCCTCTGCTTCAGGTGGGCCTTTGTACCCTAGGCAGCTGCCCCCCTCCCTACACACACACACCCCTAGGTCCAGGCCCCTTGCTCGCTTCAGACAAGGCCATGCCCCTCAGAGGGCCCTGGGGTCAAGCCACCCTGAGCATGGCCCTCCAGCCTCCAGCTTGGGTGTCTGTCCCACAGGGAGGCTGGTCTGACCTCCCTGGGCCAGGGCCCCTCCTTAATTAATCACGCCCTCTCTGGGGAGCAGAGACCAAAGCCAAACCGGTGTGCCGTGACTTGCTGAAAGCAAGCCCTGGGGCCGGCCCGGGACCTTGCTTCTGGAGAGATGAGGGTAGACTTGCCCCATTCTTTTCGAACAACGGCAAAGCTGAACGCCAGGCGAGAGGGCAGTTTGAACCCGCCAGCCACTCCCAGGGAGAAAGATGAAGCTCCGGCCTCTGTACAGAGTGGCGGACAGTCTCAGAGACCCCCAGGGGCAGCTCTACGCCATCCTATAGGGTCACTGTGACTTGGCATAAGCTTGATAACAAGGCCTGTGTCCAGATTCATCAGGGGCTGTGACTCAGCCCTGGGGACACTGCTGACAGAGGGCAGAGCATCGTTCGTGGGCTGCTGGGGGGACAGCAAGCGTGGAAGGCCTCTGGTGGGGCGGTGCTCCGGAATATGGCCGCTGGAGGTTCAAACGCAGACATGGCACTATGCCCCCATAGAGACAGCAGCCTAAGGGACCCTGTGGGCCAGTGCCACTCAGTCACTGGGGCACCACAAGTCAGTGCTGACCGCCGAGCAGCCCTGAGTGTTGTCTTCTGCCCTTGCACCAGGCTGGTGTTGGTCCCCATCCCTCCCTGCCTGTGTCCACACCACGAAAGCCGGCCATGGCCTGAGTTCAGAGCGTCCTGTGCTGCCCAGCCTGTCGTGGGGCCCTCACAGAGCACAAGTGGCCCTTTGGGGAAAACCAGGGGTCTCTTTCCAAACTAAGTCCTGGCGCTGGTCAAGGCACCTCTCTGGCCATGACGAGCCTGTCAGACACTCCCTGTCAACCTGTGGGTCACGCGAGTCTTGGAATCCCAGAGCTG